AAGCCCTCACACACCAGCTTTTCCATACCTCGAGTGGTTGTCACTGTTTTTGATGTGCGGAAAGTCCGAGCGAGAGCGACAGATTTGTAAATCACACGAAATTCTGCTTAAAGAGGTGGATTCCCTCGCTGCAGTTGGCAATCAATTTAAATGCGAGCCCGAAGGAGTCACCACCGAACACTTGCTAATTGATGGCCTGCTGGTCTGTGCCACAAAATCCAGTTCTGACGCGGCCTGGTCTTCCCCAGACGCACTTGCGTCAAGTCCGAATGCCGCTGCCTACAACTCTCGCGACTATCTGAGTCATGGCCGCCCGTCAGTCGCAAGATACTTTCAAAAAGTGCAAAAAACAAACAAAAACAGGTGGTTATTTTTCCCAGTTACATGGGGTTTTTTGAGCGGCGTGCCAGCATTCTGATTCTGCTCTGGCACTTTGTGCTAATTTCCAAATCGGAAATACTGCGGTCTATTTATGCACAGCAAAAAAAAAATGGTTCAATCATAAATTATAAATTTAATAACTAAGCCAAATAAGCATTAATTTCGATTCGGAAAGTTGTTCTGTGCTAGTTTTTAATAGGTTGATAAAGCTGCATAACTAAATTACATTTTTAAAATATTACAATTTTTATCAATTTTTCAGAATGTCAACTATGGAAAAACCTGTTATAAAATTTTGAAAAAATTATCAAAATTTTATTTCTTTCCTAGATGCCTAGAAAGAATCGCTTGTAGATGCTGATCAAGAATATATATGGTTTATAGGGTCGGAAATGACTCCTTCACTGCGTTTTTTGCTTCTGACTGAGAATATAATACCTTGCAGGGGTATAAATATTCGCATTCTATAGGTAGATATTTATATGACGATTTTTCTATAACCCACAGCTTAAAAATCTCATAACTAAGCCAAAAAAACATTTATTTCCGTTCGGAAAGTTGTTCTGTGCTAGTTTTTAACAGGTTAATAAATCTGCATACTTAAATTAAATTTTTAAAATATTACAATTTTTGTCAAAATTTCACAATGTCAACTATGCGAAAACCTGTTATAAAATTTTGAAAAAAATTATAAAATTTTTTGTCTTCCCTAGAGGTGTAGAAAGATTCGCCTGTTGATGCTGATCAAGAATATATATGGTTTGCAGGGTCGGAAATGAGTTCTTCACAGCGTTTCAAGCTTCAAACTAGAATTAGAGTTCCCAGCAAAGGCAGACTAATGTGTAGATTTTTGTCTTAACATTTTTCTTTCAGTGTCGTAGTGAAGACATCTCCAATGTCTCTGGGTTTTTGTGTCTGATTTGCATAATTCTGCGCTCTGTTTATTTCCTAGGAAACGTTCTATATCCATTTTCACAATGGTAAGCAATAGCTTAGCCGATGATTTGACAAAATGTTGCTGTTTTGGGTTTTCGGTTTCTTTCTGAATCAAAACGGGTTTCCCCCAAAACCAAAAAAAAAAAAAGCAACAACTGATTTAAAAAATAAACAAATAGTTTTAAGCATAACACACTTAATATACTCCATTTATCGCCCAGTTATAAGCTTCTGTTCTTTTTGAGAGGGGTTTTATGGAAATTCAACCCAAAGAGTTCTTGTCAAGGCGACAAGCATTTTAAGCCAATTGGCCTGGCCCGAAATGAAGGTTAATAATTACTTTCTAAGGCATTTTATGTGCTTGATTCCGAGACGTTAGTTATGCCCGTAGTTAGGTGTTTAGTTAAGCTCCTGTGTGTGCGGCGGCTATATTAGCATAAATTACGAGTCAAGCGAGCAGCTGCCCATAAAAACAAGTAACAATTTCATTAGACCAGCTGGCTAGCTGGCTGGCTGGCTAGCGATGATGTTTAGATACCAACAAACAGCACTTTCAATGCTTAACGAGGGTGAAAAGTGGCGACTAATTAGCGTCAAGTGTCAAGTCGAGAGACGCGACAAGTGTGGGGTGAGCTCATTTGTTTGCCGCGCTGTTTGCTTCGCTTTTGCATTTTATGTAATGCAATATTTAATCAACGGCCACATTGCATTCTAAAATTAAATTTAAATCCCTCGCCGCCTTACTTTGCGGCGCGTGCACGAAAATTCCATTGAACTTGAGGCTGTGCTCGGGCAGTTGCTCGGCAGCGCCACCTGTGCAGGAAGTGGCTAAAGTTGGACGCTTAAGTTCGTCGCTTAAGTCTTTTGATTATGTCGGAAACGCTCGGCGCTCAAATATGAAATAATGTGCGACGCGGCGTTCGCATTATTATCTTGTAAATGGCAATGTAAATTTTCAGCGTCTACGTGATCAGCGACCCCAGCAGCAACGGCCGCTACATAATCCTCTTAGGCTCTAAATGCCCCCATTATTAATCATCAAAGTGTGGCCAAACATGGTGGTGATTCGTAATGATAATTATCTAATATCTGGCAGATGACAGGGCGATATCTGGGGAGTAACTAACGATAACTAACGCAACTATTGCCAATTGTATAATCGCTCAATCAAAGGCCAAGTTCAAACCGCACCCCCTCCATAAAGCATTGTCTTAATGGCTAACCACAATCATATTGACAACTAAGGCCGGCGCAACTCCAAAAACCAAACAAAAAGCAAGAGGGAACAAATCAGAGACAAAGGTTCAATGAACGCACCGAAGGGAGCGCTATTTTTAAGTTCGATTTAATTTGATTTGTTTGCATTAATTGCCCCAAACCGGGGATATCTTTCTCCCCGCCAGTTGATTCACAAACGGAAGGCATTCTTGCGAGCAAGGCTTTGTAATTTAAATTTAGAAAGTAAAAGGTATATGTATTATTATTATGTTATGTGTGATAAACAAATGGTGACCGTCTGACTCAACGCGACTCGACGCCAAACAGATTGCATGCTATTTGCACATTTTCCTTGATTTACAACTGCGAACACGAAATCAATAAAAGTCAATTCTAACGTGGCCATTACGAATGTAATGCAGTAATTACACGAACATAGCCAAGACGCTGATTATTATATAATGCCCTAAAGAGCCAATCGTGAATTGGTATTTAATTGTTTATTAATTGGCTATATTATTGTTCTTCTAAGGCCCTAATAATAGGTTATAAAAGGGTCTAACGTTCATATTCAATAGGGAATTTCAGGAAGCTTTTTAGTAGCATTAATACTTGGAATATAATAATTTATAATAGAGAGTAACGAATTTCCTAAATGCTGCCATAAAACCCAAAACAAGGCTTAGAAATAATTTAGAAATGATTATTTTCTAACAAAATTCGTTTAAAAAACTATATAAAATATTTTTTGAACAACCTAATTTAAAAAGGTCTTAAAATAACATCAATTAGCTGATATACCCCTCGAAAAGTATTGCTTATAAAATGAATATAGAATGCCTTAAAGCCATAGCAACAATTACGAGTGGAACTTGCATAAATTGAATGACCTTTTTGGTCAAAACAACGTAACGACGACGCACAATATTGTTTTAATTTTTTCAACATTTTTTTACGCTCTTCCAACATGATTATAATAATATTATTATTATTAACTAGCTTAGGCTTGCTTGTAAATTATGCAACACATAAATTTAAAGCCGGAGGCTATTTTAGAAGGAAAATCGCAGCGTGACTAAACACAATGACGTTCCCGGTGCAGCTGCCACCCCTTTTTTCGAACAATTAGAATATACTGAATATTCGAAATATCTAAAATTCCCAAAGCCCCCAGCAAATGGTTTGCGTGTCAATAACATTGCAAGAATTTCGCGAATACAAAATTATAACAATCGTTACGCAACTGCCGGCATTTAATTAACAAATTGCAATTTAAATATTCTCGAATTTATTATGCACACTTGCATTTCATTATTAAAAAATTTAAATGTTTGTGCCGGTTTGACTGGACTTGGTGGTTGTTGTTGTTGTTGTATTTTTGGGTCCGTGTGTATGTTTGCTTTAATTTCCATAAATTTTCAAATTGGTTCGATCGACCGGAGCCCGGCTCCGGCTGGTGAATAAACCAATTAACATGCACAATAATTGTTATAAATAATAATAAATAAACTTCGTATCGAACCGGATGAAAAGCCAGCAAACAAAGTCGCTCTTGGATCATTAATCACAAGAACTTGGCTTCGCTTATATATAGAATATATCTATAGAACCATGACTCAAAGAGGCCATGTCATATCTTTGATATAGATTACGACTTTATAATGGGTGTTGAAAAGCAATGTAATAGCTCCGATTCGCTCCGCACAGCTAATTGCCGGATAAACCCAAGCTGCCGACCAAGAAGAGCAGGGCATTGGATCTGGTTCTGAGTCACGCACCGCGTTTTGGGTTAAGATTTTTATATTTAATTAGCGGCAATGTTCGCGGTAATTGGGTGTTTTTCCTTAACCTGCTTTGCACCGCGTCATCGTCCGAGTCTTGACCTCTCACCGGGGAACTTGCCCTGTCCCCAGACCGATCGGCCAGATGCCGGAGATTCCAGGGATACCAGAGATACCAGAGAAAGCCCTGCTCCAGCTACAGTTACAGCCACATGCCACCACTCCAAAGACAATGTTGTAATCGTAATTGTAATCGCTCCGGCAAATGATTATTAAAGCTGATCAATTGCTTTCAGCTATTCGAAAGCAGAGGCATTAGCAACACGCTTCCCGACTTCGTGCCGTTCTAGGAGACCGGCACACACAGATGATCGATGGAGCTGCACAGCTGTCTGCAATTGCAGTATCTGGGAATTGGAATGGGCAACTGGGAACACACCGGCGAACGACGACGGAGACGGACGACGGACGACTCGCCGGCCAGCTGGTGAAGGGCAGTAGAAATCCGCACTTGACTTGGCCTGCAATTGTATGCAAATGAACGCGTGCCGTGTCGAGAGCGCCTCGCGATAATTGCATAATAATTGCTAACAATATAAACATTGGGTTCTTCGTATGATTGTTTTTTTTTAGTTTTTGTTCTTTTTCGTACAATATGCAATAGAATTCTTTATTGTTATTTACTCGCTGCTGCGCTGTCGCTGTGGCCTATACATACAGATTTATGTATAATGTGCACTCGCTGCACTTACTGCATATAATATATATGTTTTGTGTTGTATATATATTCATTATTAATATAATATTTTAGCTTGTGGTTCTTTAAATATGTTTGTTGCTGCTCTTTATGCTCTAGGTACACCGCTTTTTCTCGTCACTTCTCACTTCGTCTCGTCGGTTTTTCTATTTACGGTTTTTATGTTTACACGTTTCTCGTAATGAAAATTTAAAATGTACGTTTGCAAAACGAAAGCTTTAACAACTTAGATGAATACAGGGCTGTTTTTGTTTATTGTTTTCACTATATAATAAATATATATATATATATGTATACTATTATTATTCTTATGGGCTCGCGGTTTATGCGTTACTCGTTACTTCTGTTCTGTTCTTTTTACTTCATTTTAATAGCGACTAAGACACTTTTTCTTTCATATATTCCATAATTTTCAATTGTTCTGCTTGTTCAATCGTTCGATTTTTACACTTTTTAAAGCTACAACTTGAGATGTGTGTAAAAACGCAGGGTTTTTACCTGTCTGTACAGCAAATTGTTCTTGGGATCTTGTGGGATGGGGATTGTTACGGGTAGGGATCGGTATTAAAGGTTATATGAGGCGGAATGTTGTACATTTGCATTGGTTTATTATTTTACTTGCTGTAGCGGGGGTTTTAAGGCTTAATGCTAGGACCGTACTGTTTACTTAGCATATTTAACAAAAGTTTATACATCTGCTTGGCGTCCCTACAAACTAAAATTGTATCCTCACTTCGTGTGTGTTCTTTTTGCTTAATCTTTAGTTATGTGTGTTGCGAATCTCTTTGATTAGTTGGATTAATAAATATTTCAACAAATTGTCCGCAGCACGAATCGATAATAATTAATTATTAGTAATCATAGTAATAGTAAAAACTAATAACTAATAATCGTAGTTCATTTACACACACGCGTCCTATGGTAGTTACCGAGTTAAATTCTTGAAAATAAACTAAAATCTAATTATAGTCAGAGCAATTCTTTGAATTTCTTGCATTTTCTGTATGGTTTCTTATTCATATTCTTTTTGTTAAGCTTTAAAAACAAATTAAGTTCAATTAAATATAAATTAGAGGCCTAATTAGCTACACCGATTAAAAGTAATTGTCATTAACAGCGAAGGCTTTAAACCTAGAGACTATGTGACTAAAAAAGTACAAACTAAAGACCAACAAACTCTGCTAGGAGGCAACTGCAGTCACAAAAGGAAACACACATTGCACAAAAATAAAAGAAAATGAATTGTGAGAAATAAAAATGAAAAAATAGTAATATTTTTAAATGAAAATCGATAGGGTGAGGCAGTGGAATTCGAGTCTTGCCAGGGAATATCAAATAGTCAGTACAACACACATCCTGCGTTCAAAGAAATCAAGAAATAGCTTATGTAGGAAGCCTTTTAAAAGCTTTTCAAACTTTCGACCTCCAACTAAAAAAGATTCTTCAAGAAAATCCCAGCTAAATTTTTCAAAATTAAAACTAAAATTATGCCACCTTTTTGGGGTACCAATTTGCTTGCGTGATTTGAAACCTTTTCTCACCCTGTTGACCCTTCATCGCTGTGTGGCTGCTGCTGAAGCTCCAGATGCTGCTCCTGATCCCGAACTTGTTCCAGTTGCCGCCCCCGTCAGGTCGTCCCCTTGGAGATCCACGTTGGCGGCACTGGCGTACTGCTAAAACCATGATTGCCGGTTAATATCGTACGGCTTCGGCATGCCCAGTGTGGCCCGTTGGTACGCGGATGGCGGCGGCGGCGGTTGTCCATATCCGGCGGCCGCCGCCGCCGCTGCCGGCCCGCTCAGCAGACTCTGGTTGAAGATCATCCGTGTGTGAAAGTCATCGCGTCGCAGGTACTGCTGGTATAGCTGCGAATTGGGATCCGCGAAGGGATAGGCCGCTGCAGCGGCAGCTGCACGCGTCGAGGGGTGAGCCGCTGCCGCCGCCGCCAGGAAGGGATACGAACCGGCGGCCGAGTTCAAGGGATTTTGTCCGCTCTTGTCTCCGGCATTGCTAACGGGATTTCCAGCCGCTCCGCTATGCGCCGGCGCCGGTGGCATATAGTACGGATTGGGGGCGTCTCGGAACTGATCCAGATAGCTGCTAGCAGCCGCTGCCGCCGACTGATCGCCATAGAGGCCGAGGGCTCCGGGAGTGGGCGCAAAGTTGAAGGCGCTGCCCGGCACAATGCCGCCGCTGCCACCGCTGCCCGTTGAAGTCTTCAACGAGATGGCAGCTGCAGCATCGGCCGCTGCCGTCGTCTGGTTGCTGCTGTTGCTGCTCCCGCCGCCGGCGGCCGATCCGGGCGAAGACACTCCGCCAGATTTGAGGCCCGCATACAGCTGGAAGCCCTGGTGCAGCGCCTGCGCATGGGCCTGCAGTTGATTATTGGTGGCAGCAGCTGCTGCTGCTGCCGAAACGGAGGCTGCCGTCTGCGCCATATTGTACTGCGGCATTGGTTGGTGTTGCTGTTGCTGTTGTGCAGGCACCTGTTGTTGCTGCTGCTGCTGCACTTGTTGCTGCTGCTGTGCCTGTTGCTGTTGTTGCTGCTGCTGCTTGACGGCCGCTGCCACCGCTTCTGCTGCAATTGTGGCTGCCTTCTTTTTCCTTCCCCTTTTCGCTGGCGCCTTGACTTCTGCTGCAGCAACTGCTGCCGATTGCTGGTGTTGTTGCTGCTGCTGCTGCTGCTGCTGCTGTTGTTGCTGTTGCTGGTGTGCGGGATTGTTGTTGCCTGGAACATAGTTCCCAGGCAATTGCTGCGCCGGATTGCCATATGCTGTGGCCGCTGAGCTCGAGGCACTGTACATGTGCGCCGCCGGCGGCATAGATTTGTCGAAATAGTTGCCGGCATAGCCCAGCATGGATTGCATCAGGGGATTGCTGTAGGTTTGAGGCGGCGGCGGCGTGGGCTTGTTGTAGGCGGCCAAGTGATGCGTCTGACTGAGATGATGCTGGTGGTGCATCATATTGCTGCTGGCATCGCTCACAGCAGCAGGAAGAGCGGCTTGTTGTGACGCCGCTGGTTTGTCCGGCACTGAGGACTGCTGTTGCTGAGAGGTGTAGTTATGCTGTTGCTGGTAGTTAAGTTGCTGCGGTTGCTGCTGCTGTTGCAGTGGCAACTTCTGGGCCTGAGCTTGCTGCTGTTGCTGGTAGTTTTGATTATGGGGTGTCTGCAGTTGTGTGAGATGTGGCTGCTGTTGTGCCTGTTGCTGCTGTTGTTGTTGTTGTTGCTGCTGCTGTTGTTGCTGCTGCTGCTGCTGCTGTTGATTTGTCTGCTGCTTGTTGCTGCTAGCCTGTGGCCCTGCTTGCTGCTGGTGCTGCAACTGGCAACTATTATCCTTGGCAAATTCCTTGGGAAAACCCATGGCCGCCGCCCTGTTGTACATCTCGAAAGCTTTGTCGGGCGCAATGTTGCCAATGGGCTTGCCAAAGGCCATTGAACCCAGAAAGCTATTAAACATTTGCTGTTGTTTATTGATCAGCGTTTGCGCTTGGCTCTGAGCTGTTTGCTGCAGCTGTTGCAACTGCGGTTGCTGTTGCAACTGGGGCTGTTGTGCTGGTGTCTCTTCTATCTTTGCCATTTTATTAGCCGCTGCATTGCCACTGTAATCCATGCCCATGTCCTCGCCGGGTCTCTTGAGGGGATTTATCAGAGTGTCCGTCTTTGGAGGTTGCTGCATTTGATGCTGCATAAAGGTGGCCATATCGTTGCCATAGCTGGGCGGCACTATCTTCTGCTGTTGCTGTTGTGACTGTGTATCCACAGCATCTGCTGCTGCCGCTGCACTGGCGGCTGCATTTGTTGACTGATATTGCGCATACGTTGGATACTTCGGCTTTAGCTGCTGCTGCACCTGTTGCTGCTGCTGCTGCTGCTGTTGCTGCGTCTGCAGCTGCTGTTGTTGGGGTGTTGCTTGTAGTTGTTGCTGCTGCGCTGGCTGCAGTTGTGGCTGCTGTTGCTGCTGCTGACCAGCTTGCTGCGACGCCTGATTTGCCGTATTTGCAATGCTCGGTGGCAACAGGCTGCGGTTGAGGCTCCAGTCATTATTCGGTTTTGCGATGGACGCAGCTGTCGAAGCAGCGCCAGCCGTGGGCAGTGGATTAATCAGAGTGGCAGGATTATACAAGGAGCGCTGCTGATGTTGCTGATAATTATCGTGGGTGGCGGGACCATAGCCATTGTTACTCAGGCCAGCCGTTGAGACTACGGAACCTGTGGAAGCCTGTTGCACTGGCGGCACCACAGGAGGCTGAACCTGCTGCTGCTGCTGCGCCTGAGGTTGCTGGTAAGGCGACAGCACGGGCTGCTGGTACGGCGAATGCTGCTGCTCTGCGGGGGAATGCGCCAACGGTGTCGGCGGCTGGGTGGCCGCCGAGGATGCCGGTGATGGTATGGGACTGTGGGCCTGCTGGTGGGCCGCCGGACTGTGCGAGGAAGGCTGAGAGGGCTGCTGTTGCTGCTGCTGCGCAGCCGGCGGATGATATGGCGAGTGCTGCTGATTATGATACGGCGACTGGCCATGGTAGGGTGATGGCTGCGTCGACTGCGATGACTGCTGAGGCGTAGTGTACGGCGAGCTCTGGGGTTGCTGGTACGGCGAATGCGGATTCGGCGTGCTCGGACTCATCGAGGAGTTGTAGTCCGATTCCTGGGATCGCGGCTGCTTGTATTGGTCGTAAATGGGAAGCGGGGATGTGGAAGAGTAAGCGGGTGTCTTGGAAGCCTCAGAGCCCGAAGGATTGTAGCTATTCCCACCGCCATAGGGCGAAGTTCCGCTCAGGTCCGGGGTGGAGACGTTCGGTGAAGAGGCGGAGGAATATATGTGCTGAGAATACTGTGGATACGGCGAGTTCATCTCCCTCGGACTGCAGCTCTTGTCCGGACTGCTCTTTGTCGTCGTGTCCTGGTAGAAGCCCACCTTGATGGCTCCATTCAGGGGATAAGGCGACGCCGGCTTTCCCATGTCATCGTTAGGCTTGGGCGATACCATTATGGGGGATGCACCTATGGGGGAGGCTCCAATGGGTGAGGTGTATGAGCCGGCAGCGTAGGATCCATAGCGTTCATCGATGGCTATTCGCGGTGAGTCTGGATCCTGGCTAAAGGAACTGCGCTCAGAGTTTGTGCTGCCGGTGCTCGGCTTCCTCGGACGCATCACCGTGGGCAGAGAAAAGTTGTCCCCGGCGGGGGAATGAGCTGGCGGAGCCACCTTGGCCTCACCCGGCAGCAGATCCTGCTGCTGATGTTGAAGCGGATGCTGCTTTGGCTCCTCCTCCTCTGACTTCTTGCTCATCTTGGGACCGCCGAAAGCCTGTAGCCAGGCGCTCAGATCGGGCTTCTTCTTTTGCTGACTGGCAGCATCGGCCTTGGCTGCCTCCGCCGCCGCCTTCCCAGCTTTGCTAAGCTCGAGAAGAGCTTCAAATGGCTTGGGCGGTCCTCCCTCTTTGCTGGGCGTTGTGGGTGGTGTCGAGGTCTCCTCAGTTTTGGTTTCCTCCGTGGGCACGCCCTCGTCTTCGTCTGTGGGCTTATTCCGGGCCAGTTCCTCAAGTGTTTTGCCGAGAGCAAAGTCCTGGGTCTTGATCACGGTGCCCAGACTGAGTTTCGGTGCTCCGTCGCAGGTTTCTGTGATCAAGGCATTCTTCAGCTCCTTGGCCTTAGCGGCCACTGGGTTTGTGCCTGTGAGTGTATCACTAGTTTCCTCTGTTGACTTGCCAGCGGCCACATTTTGAATGAGATTTCCCTTGGCTTTGCCCGGTTGCAGCCGTTCAATGGTCCTCATCACATTTGCCTTGGCCTTGACCTGCTGCGCCTGAGCAGCCTGAGCCGCCGCCTGCTTCTCCTTGAGGGACTTGCGCTTGGCCTCCTTGGCCAGCTGCTGCTTAATGTGAGGGGGAGGTGGTGGATTCAGCAGCAGCTGCGTGGTGCTCGGCTCCTTGGGCTTCGCTGGCGGCTGAGGCACAGGCAAGCACGGCAGGACCGCGGGCAGGGGAGCCGTAACACCAACGGGCAAAGGCGTGGGCATTGAGTTGTTGGAGCAATTCGAACTAGAGGCCGCTGTGGCGGAAGTGCTGCCTATGGAGTTGCCCGAGTGCATCGAGTGCGGAGGAGTGCCGCAGCTGCTGCTCACACTGCTCGCCGTGGGAGCCACGGATTCCGATTCAGACTTACTGGCGGCTGCTGTCGCTTCTTTTGGTTCACTGACCAGCTCGTTCAAAGCCTCCGCCAGCTTCGTCGGCACCAATTCCGCCTTGGGAGCGGCCAAGGCCACGGGACGGCGGAAATCCGCCGCATCCAGTTTGCTGCCGATGCCCGAATCAAAATCGTCGAGTAGATTGTAGCGCGAGGGCGAGTTGCTGGCTGAACTAAACTCTGTGAAGCGGGGCGTGTGCTCCAGCCAGCGATTGATGTCCTTGAGGGTCTGCTCAGTCTCCACATCCAATGCCTCGAGGTTGGTGTTGTTGCTGTTGGTGGTTTGCGCTTGGCCCGCCTTTTGTGCTGCCGCCTTCTTGCCGGCAGTGGTTTTCTTGCCGGAGCCTTTGTCGCCGCTGGGCTTATCCGCTGGCTTCGGGGGCGGCGGCATTTGCTTGTCTGGTCTTTTCTTGGCTGTAGTCTTGCCAGGCGTCTCCTTTACCCTGGTTGTGGATGATGAGAGAGGGGCGGGCGGGGTAGAAACCTCCTCCTTCTTGCTCGTCTCGGCAAGCTCTAGCGGAGCCGGAGACTTCTCCTTTGCTGGCTTTTCTATTTTCTCCCTTGGAGGCTCTTCCTTCTTTTTTGACTTGGTCTCCGTGTGCTTCTCTGACTCTGCCTTGCCCGCCTTTTCAGTCTTCTCCTGCTTCTCTACATCCTTACTTCGCTTTTGGTCTTTGCTCTTCCGGCCGCGCTTGTGAACCTCCGGAGGATCGGGATCCCTCTTGGCCGAGGCCTTCTTGGTGCTCTCCCTTCCGCTCTTGGTGCTGGCTGGCTTTGAGTCCTCGGAGGGGGCTATCGAGTTGGAGGCACTGGAGCCACTCTGGGCGGCACGACTGCGTCGAAACTTGATCACATCGTACTTGTCCATGAAGGGCAGCAGCATCTCCAGTTCGGCCTGCTCGGCCGCGGCAGCAGCGGCGGCGGCCGACAAGGCGGACTCCTCTTTACTCTTCTTGTGCTTCGTGCTGCGGGATTTGTCTTTGTCCTTGTCCTTATCCCGGCCCTTTTTCTCTTTGTCCTTCTTTGAGCTCTCCCCTTTCCTCCCCTTTTTCGTCACCGGCGGACGCTCTTGAGAGCTGGCCCTACTGCTGCTCAGGGATTTAAAGTCCCCGTCAGACTCGCGGCCAGATCGCTCCTCCATCTCTGCGTTCTCATCCTTATGATGTCGGGAACTTAGTTTGGTGGTCTCCGCGGTGGGCACCTTTTTCACGGTGGTCAGCAGCTCGGAGAGATCATCGTTAAGGGCACTTTTCGAGTATTTCTTGTGGAGATCAACCTTGAAGGGGGACATGCTGCGCGAACGCGAGCCGTCCTCGTCCTCATCCTCATCATCGTCGTCTTCGCCCGCAGCGCGTCTCGTGTCCTCCTCATCTTCGTCTTCTTCCAGCTCGGCGGCGGATTCGGCCAAAGCAGCAGCTGCTGTCGGCGGCAGCAGCTGCTCTGTGGACTGCTCGGCGCGTCTGCTCTTGTTACTTCCCTTACCCTTCACTTGTCGCTTGACGGGCGTGGGCGTCTTAACTTTGGATTCCGCAGGCACCGACTTCTTCTTCTGCGCCGCTATAGTCCGAGCTGTGGGCGGTTTGGGGAGGGACTTGGCCTTGGCTTTGGCCAGCGATAAGTGCTCATCATCGCTGGAGTTGTCGCTCTCGTGGCTGTCGCTGGCATCCGCCGATTCGGGTTCCGTTTCGGGCGCTTCCATCTTCTTGGCCCCTTTTTTGGTCTTGTGCAGCTGTGGCTGCTTACCGGGCTTACCCGCGGACTTGTCGCTCTTGACCTTGCGTCCCCTCTTATTTGTTGCGGGTTCCTTGTCCTTCTCTTTCTCTTTTTCCTTCTCCTTCTCCTTTTCCTTTTCCTTCTCCTTTTCTTTTTCCTTCTCCTTTTCCTTGGCCACCTTACTAGCCTTGCTCTTTTTGCTCGGAGGTGGCGGCGGTGGCGTTGGTTCCCTCTCAGGTTCCATGTCCTCATCATCCGTTTCGGGCTCTGCCTTGCTCTTGTTTTTCTTTTTGCGCCGTTTGTCCTTTTCCTTGCGCTTACGCTTTTGGGCTTTCTGCATGGCCTCCTCTTCGATCTCGCTGCGCTCTTCAGCGCTGCTCTCCTGACGTCCCCCCATCGTCGCTGCATCCTTCTCCGTCTCCTCCTTGGCCTTCTTGCTGAAGTATTTCTCTCGGAAAACGTTCATTTTAGAGTCGGCGGCGGGGTAGCTTAGATTAGGGTCATCGTCCTCGTCATCTGAGAGATTATCAAAGTACTTTTTGGTGGCCTTCTCAAAGGCATCCTGCAGATTATTCACCATTTCCGTGTATTCTATGGAGATAGAAAGGTATCATTAGGGTCTGTGGGGTTTATATAATTTAATCCGATGTTCTACCATTATTGTGCCCATTATACAGTCGACAGTTGTTGACGATCAGGCGGAAATCATTCCGAAATTCGCTAAATTTGTGATATTCTCCACTGTCCAGCTTGTCTTCCATCTTGAGCAGGTCCATAGGTCTGTGAAGCAAAATAAATACGATTGATAGAGAATTAGAGGTTTAGTGATCATATCTTCATATGCTTTTCTATCTTGGCAAGCAAACTCACCTCCTGATGATGGAATAATAGCGTGGTGCTATATCCTCCTCCACGGGATCCATAAATGGCCAGGCATCGCGATGATTCTTTACGTAGACCAGCACCTTATGCATTCCAATTTGAAGGACTTCCTCCGTTTCGGTAAAGCTAAGAATATTCGCATGATTGGAGGAGTTGTACGTTGAGTTGCTGTTTGTTGTTGGTGTTGATGTGTTTACTGTGTTGCTGTGGTGGTATTGTGATGCAGTTGCTTTGCTAGTTGGTATTGGTGTTGTCGTTGTCGGGTGGGTATTGGTGTTGGAATGGTGGGTTAGGGAGTGGTGCGATTTAGACTTGTGTTTGTTACTGTGGTGAAAGTGATGATGATGTTTATGGTGGGTGTTATGGTGTTGTGAGTGAGAGGTTGTGGTGTTGTGATTGTGATTATTATTATTATTGCTGTTATTATTGTTGTTGTTGTTATTCTGATTATGATTATGATATCCCTGCGACGTTGCGGTCGTTGTCGTTGTTGTTGCTGCCGCCGTTGTTGAGTGGCTGTTGTTGTTATTATTGTTGTTGTGGTGACTGTGGTGCGACGCGTGCTTATGGTTGTTGTTGTTGTTGTTAAGGCTGCTGTTGTTGTTGGTAGTGGTGCTACGTTCTCTACTATTTACAGGGCTACGTTTATCGATATTTTGTTGTTTATTATTTTTTGGATTCGGGTTCGGTTTTTGGTTCATGATCAACAGTCGGAATGTTTGTTTTTTATAGTTTTTTTGGGGTGGGTACAAAAATTTACAATAACAATGATAAATATGTTAATCAATTGATCACATTATATACAATTCGATGGGCGATGTATGGAGTGTATGGAAAGGGCCAGGCATCATGCAAGGGAAACGAACTAAAAGTGACAGCAAAACTAAGGTAGAAGTTCTAAAATCCCAACGCAACTGGTAAGGAATTGGAAAAGAAATAAGCACAGGCTTAAAACAATAAACCAAATCAACAACAATACAAAATCTGAGTTAGCATCATGAACGGTTCGGTTTAAGCATTAAAGATACAATTTAAACCTGTTTGAGTTTTAAGAAACAACTAAATAGTAATAGAATGAATAGAAGAAAACATAATTCTCTAATACGGAGCAATTAGTTAAGTAAAAGTAACTTAAATTGTATCTTTGTCACGATGCTCATTCATCCAACAAGCAAGCAGAAGCATAAATAACCAAAGAGTAGTACGGGCAGTAAGTTTGTGTTGTGTCGGGGGGGATCGAGATTAAGTCTCTCGTCACTCTCACTTACTCATCGCCACTTTTGTCCGAGTAGGCACCGCTCTGCCGTTCCGCCTTGCTGGAAGAGGACGATGATGCCGATGACGAGGCAACCTTCTTGGGCTTGCCAGCTTCCGTTTTGTCCACCGCTTTGCTGCTGCTACTGCTTCCGCTTCCGCTGCTATTCAGAACGGCCTTTTGCTTCTTTGAACGAACTGTGCTGGCTGTGGTGCTGCTGCTGCTACTGCTAGTGCCGCTCTGTTCCTGAGCTTGCTGTGGTTGCTGCGTTTCACTGCTTCCTCCAGCCGGTATGAAGATGTTGCCAGTCAGTGAACTGAGCGAATTGTTTGTCTGCCTGCCGGGCAACTTGACATTGGCCGCTGGCGCCATCGAAGAAGACACTATTGCTGGTGGTGGTGGTTCTGCTGCCCGCTGATCCACCTCCTGCTGCTGTTGCTGGTCTTCCTGTTCTGCTTCGCTCTCATGTGCCACCGATGGAGACGGCAGACTAAGGTCGGCGATGCTGGTGGCTACGGCTATTGCCGCCGAATTGGCGTCCAACAATTGCAGTTGCCTGCAAAAGTTCTCCTTGTCCTCGGGACTTAGAGAAGTGTTAGTGGTCGTTGGTGTCTCCTCGGAAGGAGTCTCCTCTTGCTGCTGCTGCGGCTGCTGAGGGCCACTGCGTTGTCGCTTTGGCTGCCCACTATAGTTGCTGCTGCTGCTATTACTGTTGCTGTTGTGATTGTTGTTGTTGTCGTCCTCGCCCTCGTCTGCCTCTGAAGCATGCTTGTGTCGCCGTCGATGATGGTGATGATGTTCGCGATCGCGATGGTGTCGCTTCTTTTGCTTTTTGCCCGACTTTTTCTTCTTATGGTGATGGTGATGATGATGATGGTGGTGGCTATGGTGGCCCTTGCTTTGCGATTTCGGCGTTTGAGGTGAGCGAAAATCGGGATCGGTGGCTGCTACTGCTAATAGTTCTTCTTGATGCTCTTGCTGCTGCTGCTGAACCTCTTGTTGCTCGTCGTGTGGCTGCTCCGCGTCGAGGGCCTCCCCGTCGTCGTCGTTTTCTGGCGAGAGGCAGAAGGTTTCCCTGTGGCACAGAAATTCGCTCGAATTAGTTGTGGTTGTTCGTCTGAGAGAGCTTGCGTAGGTTGAAATACCACTAGCCGTCGATGTGGATTGGGATCTAAAAAAAGAGAGCAAAAAATCCAAAAATCAAATAAATATAATTTGTTATTTTCGTAAAAATTATTATTATTCTCTCTAAAAGCGTTAATGGTTTGATTTTGTAGTGAAATAAAAGAACAAAGGCTATGGAAATGTAATCGAATATCGATCTCCTACCAATAGTGTATTATATCTATTCCAATCATTTTCCTAATTGATAATTTTCTATAAAACTCTTGTCTTTAATTGCTCCCATAGCTTTTCCATAACTTAGATATCCTACGTTATATCCGTGTCTGTATGTGTATGAAATGGGTGCCAAGAACTTAAACTTAAGACATAAACTTAAAGCATAAAGAATACACATATCGAATAGAAATAGAATATCAAAAAGCATGCTTACAGAGTTGTTCTTTTTTTGAAAACGAAATCCAACCAATTCTAAATTATACTTTAGGGGTCAAAACTCAAATTAAGTGCTGATCCTCGTCCCGTTCGCTCATCATCTTTGTTCCGGGAGCTCTGCGTCGATGCTGATTGATAATGATTCTGATTTGTGATGGTTTCCAAACTCAAATTGCAAGCGCAGAAATCATAACAAATTGTACGGCAACTCAAAAGATCAATTGAAAACGTAAATCAAAGATGCTTTTGGTATGCAAGTGTAGGTTGCTGTGTGGGTGAGTTGAGGCCCTTGCCTCCGCCAGCTCTCCCTTAAAATGCGGCACGTGCTAACCGTCTGCGTGTGCGCTGCTGTTGCTGCTGCTGTTGTTGCTGCTGTTGTTGCTGCTGCTGTTGCTGCTGTTGCTGTTGTTGCGTTGGCGGTGCTAGCCAGTGTGCGTTCTGCCGCTCCTGATACAGATTCTCACGCTCTCTTCGCTGGCGTGCTTTTAGCTCCACAAGATTGCGAATGCGACTGGAGTTGCGCACTTGAAGAAGTCTGTAGGGAAGCATTAAAAATTGTTAAATAACGCTCTTAACCTTTTATAAATTAACTTCGTTGAAGTACAAACTAAAATGTACAACATATCAACTTACTTTCTGCGCCTCAAACGCTCACGCTCCCGAAATAGCTGCGGCAGCTTGGGCAGAAAGTTCTCATCAAGTATTTGGAAAAGTTCGCGCTCCTTGGCGTTCGTCGAGGTCTTAAACTTAGCGGCCAAGTTCTGCCAGTCCTCCTCGGTGAAGCAGATCACCTGCCAGATGGTGCCGTTACTGCCGATGCCCTTGCTACTGCTAGAGGCTCCGCCTGCTGAAGTGGCCGATCCTGATCCGCCTCCTCCACCGCCCGATCCTGATGCTGCGGCCGCTCCACTAGCCTTGTCCTCGCGATATAGACGCGTGCCGTAGAAGTACCAGTAACCCGAATTTTTTGCGTCGTAGCCGAGGGGCTCCACGCGTAAGCTGTCCGCCTCTAGATTGCTGAGAATGACCTGCACATCGGCCGAGTCGAGGCGGAAGTGGCACAGGTCGTGCAGGATGTGCAGGCGCTTGCGCACGGGCAGCGACTGGAAGTCAATGTCCGTGTCGAAGTGGTTCTCGGTCTGGTGCAAACGACACTGTTGGCGCAAGAAGCGGCGCAAGAACATCTGATAGTTGCTGTGTGTGATTTCCTTGGCTACCGACTGTAGCGCATCGCAGCCCTTGAGCAGGCGCACAATTAACTCGGGCACTAGGGCGACCTGATCTTCATCGCTGGTACCATCGGAGAGCAGCGCCGATTCGAGGTCCTGTACGGTGATAGCAAGATTATTAATATTTCATTTTATACAGAAAGGCTGGGGTTTGGCACTCACCTCGATATCGATGTCGGGCAGATCAAAGGCGGAACTAAACAATGAACAGAAATGCGAAATACACGGTATCTCCCACCATGATTGAATATCTGAAAAGGAAGACATTATTTTTATTCCATATTAAAATTCTTATTTCATTTTTTTGTACTCACCCAGTAGGCCAATGAAAGTAGAAACCATTTATGTATGCTTGCTTATTGGAAACGTTGCTCCTCTGCGGGATTTGTGATTTCTTGACTAAAAACAATTTTGGGTGCCTCTTTGGTAGCTCGCTCTGCATGGATTTCGGGGCTGTTTATTTTTTTTTTAATAACGAAAATATGCGAATAAGGGTTTTCAGGCGTTAACAAATTAGTTTCAAGTTACACACGAAAGTCCGCCAAATGGCGGCACAAAAAGTGCGAGGCAACAAAAAAAAATGTGTGCAACATGTGTATGTGCGTGCGTTGCTGCTGTTGTTGTTGTTGTTTTCGTGGTTTCTCTCGGAATATTTGGCGGCGCTATATACACAAACATCTGGGCTTTATCACTTATCACAGGCATTGCGATGCACCGCAAAAGCACGCGAGGCGCGTGGCGGAGAAGGGAGTGGGCGGTGATAGTGGGATGGTAGGTCAAAAGAAAGTACACGAGCACCCCTTTCGCGCGCTTATTTTCACGAAGAGAAAATCAAAACAGACAGCCGACAAACGGGGAATGCGAGCGCCAGAGCGGGATGGCAGGAGTGTGGCCGACCAATAGCGGCGCCGCTCACTTTTTCACGTTTGCATGCCGTCTCGCTCGCTCGTCGTTACTATTTTGACTACACTGCACTCGTTTATTTTGCAATTATAATGTGCAATTTACACGGCTCTTTGGGCTGCTTTTGGCCCAGGGCATCTCACGCGATTGCTGGGGCTGGGCAGGGACTTTCGTGGGGACTTTTGGACGCGGAGCGAGCGATTTGCGATGCGACTACCGAATTCGGAGCATGCGCGCGGGGGATGACGACGGCGCCTGGTGCGCCTTTTTTCTGTCTCTGCCTTCCGCCTGCTGGCCAGTGTGTGTATTTATTTTTATTAATACACGTATATATATTTTTCAGTTACGTGCGAAAATGTCATTTAACTTAAGAGACGCCCATTCCACCGATCAGCGTTGCGCTGCGCTCTTTTATTTCTCCTGCTTTCCCCACACGCACACGCACATTGGCACACACACGCACATTAGAGGCTCCATCTCCATCTGCCTTTAAATATAATTAATTATTTCACAACAAAAGCAGCGGCCGCAGCACATACACAACCGGAGCGAGGGTAAATACTTTGCTAGCACTTTGGAATCCCGTGGGTTCTGGCCGTGGCGCGGATAACTCGAGTTTTCCGTTTTTTGCGCTCCTGGTTAATTTTATTTTCCTTCTGCTAGAGCTGCAAGAACGTCGATGTCACTACCGATATTATTGCGGCAACGAGTACGATAGCAATTGATTGCAAGCGATGGCCTAAATTTCGTCAACATTCTGGTGATCGATAGGGATGAGGAGGTAGCAGATTTGGTACCACAGCATTTAATTTTATTTGGATCCACCCAATATCTAATACATTATAATTTACAAAAATAGATGTTAAAGATAAAAAGATACCATATATATTATATCTACAGTTTTGCAGTTAGGATTTTCCATTCCTACTGCAGCTACATATATGATAAAATTAAACAATTTTTCGTCCGATTAAATAAACAGTCTATTTAATTCATTACAACTAGTTTATTCAAGTCTGCGCCATTAATTTATTAAATAGTAGTTCATTAAGCTCTTCGTTATTTTCTCATATCTCTGCTGCTTCCACCGCAATCGATATATCGATACATAATCTCCAAATTCGTTTTCGTTCGCCATTCGGTTCTGCCTCTTCTCCCCACCCCTTACTTTGCTTCCTTTTCCTCACCCCAGACACCGCGCGACCAGCTGTGAATCTAACCTAACTTTTCGGTCCGCTAACTACATGGTGGCATGCATGTATGTGTTGTTGTTCCACATGCACGTGTGCCTAAGTGTGCGTGCATGTTACCATGTAGGTCGCCATGTATTCTAGAGTAACTACATGACATAAACCGCGGGGAGCGGTGAAGGGCCACCAATTAAAGATTAACCAAAATAATTCGTTATTTCAAAAGCAACTCTGGCGTTTGGGGAGTAGCAAGTATTTTTAAGTTTCTGCATGCCTCTTAAAAGTAGTAAGCCCGCAGTTTGAGTGGATGAACCGCCTCGCCTTGGGGAGTCCCACCATGTAGGTCTATCTACATGGCGATTCTAGCTTACATGGCGAGACACACTGCGAAACTGGTTTGGGAAGGGTTTCTGCTCTCGAAAAAATGTGTGGTGGTGATTTTACAAAAGCCTCCCCCTAAGAATTTTTTAATTCTTTTTCCATATATTGCAAATATGGGTTATTATTTAAATGTTTCAATTAGAGTTTTAAAAATATGAGAAGATACATATTCATTTTATTTTTGGAGTAATTTAAGAAATGTAATTTAAATAATTAGTTTCAAGCTCAGAAGTCGGAATTAGTATCCCGTGTCTCTTCCTTTTTGAAATCTGCATTGATTAGGCATCAGTTTTTAATTTTAAACTGAGGGTTTTTCAAGCTTTGGTTCTTAATTTTAATTAAGTTTTATTTATAACAAATACCCAAAAAGCTATTTTGTATTTTATACATACCAATGTAGTCTTTATTTTAAATTCTTTATTGATTAATTAGCGATTAAAGGGGGGAAGGATATATCATAATTAGGCGAATCATTACAAATAGTAACCAACCAGTGTTGGTGGGGGTGTGGGGGTGTGTGTGTGATAGTGTATTTACAGGTGTGGGTGCCGCAGCTGTGGCAGCTGGAGCAGCGCAGGCAGGTGGTGGGTCAGCAGGAGAAGCTGCTGCTCCTGCTACGGTTCGATCTTGCGTATTTTTAGGCCTCCGCTGGGGCCGCGCGGTGTTAGCGGAACTCCAGGTGAGCCTGCCACCGACGCCGCACCTGCAGTTGCCGCGTTAGCCACCTGGGGCATGAGAGGACCCCCGTTGCTGGTCTCCCCGGTGCCGTTCCCATTACTGGGACCTGAGGCGGAACCGTTTTGCAGGCGCCGCTTCAGCACAAAACGCTTGGAGGCCGCCGGGGCGGCCACCGGGGCTGTCGCCGGGGCTGCCGGCACGATGGCCAATGTGCCGGTTTTGGCAGTCTGCGTGGGCACCTCCTCGTTCACAGGATCCACTTCCATGTCAGTGCCCGCATTGTTCTCGTCGTGCAGATCACTGGAAGGCTCCTCGTCGTCGTGGCCCTCCTCCTCCTCAAACTCGGCGCTCTCCGTGTCCTCGGGATACTCAACCAGCTGGCCGTTGAGGGTGGGAAACTCTATCACCGGCAGGACTTGGCGCTGCTGCTGCTTATTGCCCTCGTCCATCAGCTGCTGGATGAGATTGGCGATGTCCTCGCGCTTCTTGGTGACGGTGAGGAAGTCAAACCAGTTGGTCAGCTGCTTAATGGGCAGCCGGTAGTCGCGGATGGGCTCGCTGAAGAACTGCTCCACGTACTGCAGCAGGTAGAGGCCGCAGTCGGTGAAGTTGTTCTGCTGCGGCACCTTAACGCAGTGGCCGGGCATGTTGTCCTTGTTGAAGACGTGCGCCTGCGCATCCGGCTTCTTCACGCGATACTCGCAGGTGAGGTAATCACGCAGCGTGGCCACCACGCGGCTGCGCGAGGCACCCGCCAGGGAATCGAAGATGAGGATCAGCGGCTGCTTCACGGCGGGCACATCGTCGGCTCCGCAGGTCCTAGCTGGACCGCTGGACGCCGTGGGCTGTGCGGATGGTTTCGGGGTGCTGCTGCTAGCGGGTGTAGCCGTAGAGGATTCCTTGGCGGAATTCGAGTTCTCACTGTCCTCCGATGCCATGTCGCTGTCATCTCCCTCAGCCTCATCACGCTCGCTCTCATCGTCCGCTATGCGGCAGATATTATCTGATGTGAGGGCGGCCGGAAGCTGTCCTCCTTCGCCCCTCTTAGTCAGTGGTGTAATAGTTGTGTTGCCAATCTGAAGCGACACCTTCTTGCCGCGCGGTCGCTTTAGCTGCTGCGGCTCCACAGGCTGGTTGGTGTCGTAGGTCACGGGTCCTTTTAGGTTGGGGAAGCAGATGATGGCCAGGAACCAATGCGACTGCTCGTTGATAGGCACGATAATGAAGTCCTTGTCAAAGATATCCACGCCCTTGGTCCACTTCTGGACGCGGGCATGACGCTTCTGGGCGGCAGTCTGCTTCATGTCCGTGGGACGCGTCAGCGTTGTCAGGCGTTTGTAAAAGAAAGTGCTAAAAATATGAGTACGCTCGCGCAGAGCCTCCGGAATCTGGGTGTTGCGCAGCCAGACGAGGTAAAAATCAATGATTATGTCGTTGAGGTACGACTCCTTGGTGAGACACACATAGTCCTCCATCCGTATGCACAGGCTGCCGGAGGTCTTGGGCGGATACATCAGAAGGTTGACCTGCTCATCGGCCCTCAATTGGCGCGGCGGCGGTGGCTGCTGTGAGCTCTTATCCAGTGCCTTGCGGTCTGAATCGGCGAGCCGCTCCAGGATCTCTGCCGCATCGTGCGAGGAAATCTCGTCCACGCAACTAAACATTGACTTGATGGTGCCGCGAGCTGAGGGGGAGATGCTGTCAAAGATTAGGATGAGGCGGCGAATGTGGAACGAACTGGTGCCTTTGAAACAGGTTTCTGAAAAAAGTAACAAACAGAGAGCACGCTTAGTAATCTTTATATGTAACTACACCAAGATTCCCCTTAAAAGTAGGCGAAACGCAAACTTTTCCCCAATTTAAATTACAAATTCTATTAATTCAAGTGGACTCACGTTCGCTGGCCTGATCGTCAGGCAGGAGGAGCTGCGTCTTCACATACTGGGCGCACGTCTTGAGCAGGTAGAGCGTGACGAGTGGCAGAGCGGGCTCCGCGCTACCAAAGTGCGCTATTACCTTGATCACCTCGTGCTTGTGGATGTGCAGCGTAAACTTTGTATCCTTGTCCGGCACAACGCCTGCGATGCGGACGCCCTTCGATGTGAAGGTTATCTGCAATTATGCAAGGATGCAAGGATGCGAAGAGAGAATGCAATTTATTATACACATTTCGGCACAGAGGGGGTGGGGCGTAGGTACTACTTACCGGCTCTGTGATCTCGTAGCGGTAGGGCACCAAACGGATGCAGCTGCAGTTCACCGATGTGGAGAAGCGCTCCGTCTCCGGGATATCAGACAGATCCGTCACGTCGCCGCGCACAAAGTCTGTTAAGGAAAGAAAAAGGTTGACATTCATTAAATAATGAAATTCTTTTCTCGCTTTCCTCCTCGTGGCTTGTGCGTGTCGCACATTTTCATTTACACTATTTCGCACACAAACACTGTTTTTACCTTCGGCGTTCATTGTGTTTTAAAATACACAAAATAAAAACTAAAACACTACGGTAGATTTTCTCTGATTTGTGAAAATTGCGAGAGAATTTGGGAAAACGATGTGTTTTCTCGCCTTCGCTTTGCGCTTCTCTTTCTCTATCGGTTTGCCTTGCGTAAAAATGGCGTGCTCTGTCTGACTCCCCCTAGCGGAATGTGACAGTACCGCTTGCTGAGAGGCATTGCCAGCACAAAAAAAAAACCGAAAATATACAAAATACGACATTGCTTTACATCAGTGTTGCCACTGCGGGGGAAAAAATGAGCTAAAATAGCTAAACAAAAAAAAAAGGCTAATTAAATAAAGTTGTTCTTATTTTAAATTTAATTAGCCTTATTTCCACTTATATATTTAGTTGCAAAATTTGCATTCTGATTGAATTTGCAATTTTTTAAATTTTGTAAGCAACTTTTTTTTTAAATTTATCTAATTTTGAATTTACATAAATAACTCGATTTGATTATGGCTTACCTTTGTACAAGGGCTCCTCATCTATCTCGGGTAGCTGTGGTTCGCAGGCAAAGGCGGCGGGCAATTGGTGGAGATTTCCATTTGAATTCAGTTTGGAATTCGTCGAGGACTGGAAAATATATTTAAAATAAATAATATTCAACAGGTTTTTTATAATTTGAAAAAATCTATAAGGGGTTTAAAAACAAATAAATAAGCTTGTAAATTTAAGAGTACAAAGGATCAGGAAGCTCTCTACATTAAAAACTATTACATTTATTAATGGGAATGCATCTCCAAGACTTACATTTCCCGTCTCCGTGTTGGTCTCATCGGCATCGGCTTCATCCTCACTGCTTAGCAAGACCACCGGATCCACCTCAGCTGCCCGCCTGCCGCCTCTGGCTCTGCCGCCACGTATGGCCATCGCTCCTCTGCCACGGGCACCAGCTCCCACTCCTGGGTAGGCCACTCCAGCCAGCTGCTTGCCGTATCGAGCGACGGCCGCCAGTTCTCGTTTCTTTTCCGCCGCAGCTGCTCCTGCTGTCAGGGGCTGCTGCTGGTCACTGGCCGTAGACGAGGAGGAGGCTGGCGAGGAGGCAGCACTTGACTTGGCAATGTAGGACTTTCGCTTGGGGGGCTCGGGGAAGACGCGCTTGCAGCGCTCACAGCGAGCGTGATCCATGCCCGTGAAGCCACATAGTTGGCACACGGCGAGAAAGCCATCGATTAGCTTGCGACTCTCCGCAGGAGTTGCTGCTCCTGCTGCTGCTGCTCCGGAAGATGCTGCGCCCATGGCATTCGTTTGGTTTGCTGAACTTGCGGCCTCTCGTTTGCCTGCTCGGCGGCAGCGTTTGCCTGGGCGTACGAAGGGGCAGCGTTCGAAGTGGCAGGATTGGCAGCGGCTCCTCCGGGCACTGGGGCTGGGTTGTCCTGCGAACGGTTCATCTGCAGGCTTTCCTCCGCCCGGGATATCAATTCGCTGGCAGACTCGTTTACCGAGAAGCCCACAGTGACCACGAAATCCACGTTGGCGCCGCGGTGCTCCACGCACTGTATGGTGGTGGCGTTGTCAAAGGGCACGCCGACCTGCTCGAGGAGGTCCTGCACCGTGCAGGATTCGCGGGGCAGGGTGAAGGTGATTAAACGTTGCTCGCCGCTGGCCAGGATCACTAGCATCTTGGCGCTGTTCTTGTCGCGTTCCGCAATGGGCTGGCCGGCCCGGTTGTTCAGGACATGCTGCGAGTGGATCTCGTAGTTGTTGTGCGAGGTCTGCTGCACGGACGAGCCCTGCGAGGCAGTTGAAGCTGTGGCGGGGGCGGTGGGAGCGGTGGGAACTTGAGCCACCACTGGCGCTGGAATCGTCCTTTGGGGCTGCATAATCCTCGTGCCCGGCGGCAGTCCTCCGCCTCCTTGACCCTGCAGCTTGGACGCTGGCCTCACTAGTGTTCCTGGGGTTGCGGCCCTCATGGGGGTGAGGCCGGGGTTGGGTGATGGTGAAGCACTGAGGGTTTGCCGCTTCTTAAACTCCGCCAGAGTCATGCTGGCTCCTCCAGCGGTACGCATACCCTGGACCTGGCCCTGCACGACCTGCTGCTGCTGCTGTTGTTGTTGGTCCTCTTCCTGGGTGGCTGCTCCTGGTCCGGGATAGTAGGTGGTTAGAGTAGTACCGGTTCCTATCTGCATGGGAGGCAGCTGCGGTGGCGGCTGAGGCTTCTGCTGTTCCTTCTTGAGGACTGCCGCCTGAATACGATCCTCCAGGTCCATGCCAATATTGCTGTTCGTGGCTTGGACCACTCCACCAGCGGGATTAGCGGCGGACGCTGCTGTGGGTACAGGAGTGGGCACAGCTGAGGCCAACGCAACGGGAGCTCTATAGCGAATGGGAGCCTGGCGCATCATCAGCATGTGATGCTGCTGTTGCTGCTGGGGACTCCCGTCGCTGACCATGTGGGTGCGATAAATATGACGCTGTTGCTGCTGCAGCTGCTGCTGTTGTTGAGGCTGCTGCTGGCCGAGATTCGTGCTGATAGTGATGTGCTTCATCTGGGTCTGGGTCACTATCTGCATGGTCTGACCACCGTCGGCGCCGCTCGTTTGCACAACCAATTGAGCTCGAGTTGGCCGTATGCCGGTCGGACGCATATTCCGAACGATTCCGCCGGGCACGGAGGCACCCACGACTCCACCTCCACCTCGCGGGCGGACTTGCCTCACGATGGTCGTCGGCGTGAGCGTGGGTCTGGTGGATATAAGGGTGCCTGGTCTGGCCACGACAGCTCCTCCACGCGGGGATTTCCCCCTGAAAGAGGCTCTCACCAGTTGCGTTCCGCCGGCGGCAGAGGTAGCTACCAGTTGCGGCTGTTGCTGTTGCACCAACTGAGGCTGTTGCTGCTGCTGTGGTGCTTGCTGCTGTTGCTGGGGCTGGGGCTGTTGCTGCTGGACCTTCTGGACCTGAAGCTGCTGGTAGACCACGTTTTGAGTTTGCTGCGGCACGACGCGAGCCTGAACCAAGTGAGCTGTCTGAGTGGTGGCCTGGAGTTGCAACTGCTGTTGCTGCTGCTGCTGCACTTGCTGTTGCTGAACGTGTTGCTGGAGGACGTGCTGTTGCTGCTGGTGCTGCGGTGAAGTGGCGTAGACAACTCGATTATTGTACGGATGAATGGCGGTGGCCTGCCGCATAATCAGCTCCTGATGCTGCTGGGCTTGGATCAACACCGGTTGCTGCTGGACGATCACATGAGTGTTGTTCAGCATACTTAATGGCCTTTGAGGTTGCTGGGTGGTTGTCATGCGGTAGACGATTTGCTGATGCTGCTGCGGCTGCTGTTGCTGCTGCTGGGCAGGCGACGTTTGCAGCTGGAGCGTTTGTGGCTGCTGCGCTTGCGGGTGCTGCTGTTGTTGCTGCAACTGGGGTTGTTGCTGGGGAGAAGCCTGAACCTGATAGGTGGGCGCATGCTGTTGGTATTGCTGCTGCTGTTGTTGTAGCACCTGCTGCTGCTGTTGCTGCTTCTTCTGCTGCTGCATGTGCTGGACAATGGCATTGGGCTGCAGTACTTGCTCGGAGGTGTAGTAAATTTGCTGAGTGTGCTGAATGGCGGGTTGCTGGTGCTGCACATATTGTTGCTGTTGCTGTTGCTGCTGCTGTTGTTGTTGCTGTTGCTCCATGTGGATTTGCTGCTGCTGCTGGGGGTCTTGCTGCTGGTAGTGTACCTGCTGTACTTGGTGTTGCTGATGATGCATCACGACCTGCTGCTGTTGCTGCTGCTGCTGCTGTTGGTGTTGTTGCTGCTGCTGCTGGGCCAAATCATCGCCACCAATAATGTGGTAAGCAGGTGCCGGCGCCTGTTGCGGCTGCTGATACTGGGATGGAGCTGCGGTTTGGTACACAACTTGCTGCTGCTCGTTAAACACCAATTGCTGGTCGTCCTGCAGCACCAAGGACTGCAAGATAGGGTAGGGATAAATTAATAAATTAAAGGTAATGGCGGTTTTGTGATACTACTCACCCCAACCTCATCTTGGGGCATTTGCACTACCTGCAAATCGGAGTACACTGGATCCTCTAGGGGCACTATATATTGCTCCATATCTGAAGAGCTGGAAAATTAGGGGAGAGGTATTAGATTTTACTTGCTGAGCATTAACGCGACTATCAACCTGCAGAGGATAGATCGAATTAAATGAATATATGAAATCTGTTGCTTATATTTACAATTTCATAAAACACATCTTTGCACGAATTAATAACAAATATTCAAAGCCTCTTTATTTCAACTTCCGTTGCTTTTCCCTTCAACAAATACACACAGTAACAGAAAAATCAATAAATAACACATAAAAGGAGACAAATCAATGGAATATATGTATAATATGCCACACATAACCAAACAGACGCTTATACAAGTCTTCAACATATTCATCTATTTACAACACATTTTCTGCACAAATAACTGTGCATGCGTCTCTTTTTTGGAACGACATACAAAGGTATATCGAACCCTCAAACACATGCACAGGCAAAGGGTTAAAATGCAAATTATTTACAATTTCCAGAGCGTTAGAAACAAAAGTGTTCGGTTCTTCAGCAAAACAGATATTTGACGTAGTCTTTTTCACATATATTTGACCTTTTTTAAGCGCATTTCTTATACAATTACTGGGCATTTCTTGCGCCTCAATTTTTTTCTTTTTTGGTCGGGTTTTCACACACACATAACAAACACACACCTCGGAGACTTTCCCAAAAACGCAACTGTGTGACGCCGCTGGTAGTACTCGTTCGCTGTATCCCTTGTGCCCGGGTTAAAGCATATTTTAGCTGGATCTTTTCACTATTTTTATGGTGATAACTCGCATTTTAAATTGAAAATTCACGCTTTCTTCTTTTTATAAAATGCAGAAGAATCAAATATGGCGTTCAGATGCAGAGGAGCATTTTTGTCACATTTTCGTGCTGGCAACGCCGTCTGTAGCAGAGCGCCCCCTGGCGGCATCGCCGCTCCGCAGCTGTTTACAAACATTTAGCAGCGTTGTGTTTTGTGCTGCTGTTTTATCGATGTCCGCTTTGTGCCGTCGTCTTCGCCTAATGTTTAGTGGTCCCTCTGTTGGCATGTAGCCCGTTTATCGGGACCACTAAACTTTCGGACCACTGGAGTTGGCTTGAAATCGCCTGATTTTCGCGTCGAACCCCGTTTTCCAGGCTTTGATTTAATTTTTGGCAACATATTGGAGTTGTTAAGTCGGAGTTGCGTGATAACGGAATTTTTCGGCAATTAATATCGCGGTTTTTGGGCACTTGTGTTTTGTTGTTCGCAGCGCGCTCCGCGAATTGGGGGAAGAAGCAGACGGGCCAACAACAACAGCAGGCGTTAGAGGTGGCAGGCAGGCGATAGACCGAAAAGCGATTATTTTCGACATTTTTCGAATTGTTCATCGCATAGAGAGAAGATATAGAAGACTAAGAATAAAAATGTCAAAATAATAATATGTATTAACTAAAATATACTATTCAAATCTTAACAGTTTAAATAACGAAAACTTCAAAAATCGATTTTATCCCTAATAAATACATAATATGTGTTTGGTGTAAATAAAACATATTAAAAATCTTTAAATATAAAATATACAACACATATTTAAATAAATATATTCCTATATTTTCCTATTGCCGCTTCTTCCTCCCTTTGTGGGACTTCTATTTGGCCCAACTTTTTTCTTCTTATTTGTCACGATTTTCAACACTGTCTGTGACCAACACTTGCTATATTTCTGCATTACTGCACACTGCTCCATAAAAACAAAACAAATTAATAAAATGTCGAAAATATTTACGCCCACAAATCAAATTAGGCTTACAAATGTCGCAATTGTGCGTCTTAAAAAGGGAGGCAAGCGATTCGAGATAGCCTGCTACAAAAACAAAGTCCTATCCTGGAGGAACAACAGGTGAGCCTACAAATTCCAGCACGTGTTGTAAAATATGAGCTCCGAAATTTGTGGACAATTTCCTAATAAGACGTAATTCCCTAATTAAGCGAAAAGGATATAGATGAAGTCCTCCAAACGCACACAGTGTTCACAAACGTGTCCAAAGGGCAGGCCGCCAAGAAGGACGAGCTTCAGAAGGCTTTCAACAAAACGGATGAGACCGAGATCTGCAAGGAAATCCTAAGCAAAGGCGAGCTACAGGTATCGGAGAAGGAGCGCCAGAGTGTCCTGGACACACAGCTTAACAGCATAGTCAACAGCGTGGCCGCTCTGTGCGTGAATCCCGAGACCCGGCGGCCCTACTCGTCCTCAATTATTGAGAAATCTCTGAAGGATGCCCACTTTTCCGTCAAAATGAACAAGAACACGAAGCAGAACACACTGGAGGCCATCAAGATGTTGCGGGAGCACCTGCCCATCGAGCGGTCGCGCATGAAGCTGCGCGTAAGCTTTGCAGGCAAGGAGGGCGGCGGTAAGCTGAAAGAATCGGTGGTTAAGCTTGCCAACACCGTGGAGCACGAGGAATGGGAGGAGGCCACACTGCATCTTACGCTACTCATAGATCCGGGCCAATACCGTGTCATTGACGAGCTGGTGAGAAACGAGACAAAGGGCAAAGGGCTGCTGGAGCTGCTCGAACTCAAGGAGGTGGTGGAGAGCGAGGAACTTTTTTAGGAAACTCGAAAACCACTAAATTGTGAATTCTTCTGTTGATATTTATGTGAAACATAAAGGAAAATATTTTGAAATATATAAAGCATCCGATTTTATATTCAATCGCGGCTTAGCTTCGTTTAATATATGATATTGTCAGAACGATGTTATTTCATTAGACCTCTTTAATCGATTATATTTAAAACATCTTTGAAACAAAATTTAAATACATATCGTTTGATTTTCAAGTGATGTTATTGCTGATTTAATATTACAAAAACTTTCATAAATTATATTTAAAAGACGAATACAGTTTAAACAATTGAAATCTTCACATTTCACATAGAAGAAAAAGAAATAACAATTCAAGTGGATATTAGCTTACTAGAAGTTCTTTAACATATATCTGGCTATCTTTATAGAACCGAAAAGGAGATTATCTGTATAAAATATATAGGTAGCTTATTGAATGAGTTTCCACCGCTTCACTTCCGCTTCTTGAGGTTCTCAAAGCGACGCGACAGCTCATCGAAGTCAATCTCGTCGTCATCGTCCTTCTTCTTTTCCACACCCCCGGACGGGACATCGGGCAAATCGTTGGGTACATTGGGCAGCGATGGGAAGTCCAGGGAAGCCGGCGGAGCACTGGGCTGCTGCGCTGGGGGATTGCCCGGTGGCAGCTTGGATCGGGGTTGAGGTTTCGGTTTGTTGGCATTCTGCGAAGGGAAAAATGTATGCTTATTAAGAAATTCTTCTTATAATCACTTGTAATCAAAAATGAAAACCCTAAATTTAAGTCCTGACCTGCAGGTTTACGGGATTAATCGAGGTGTAACGCGGCGGCGGATCATTATCGGGTTTGGGGCGCTGTCAGGCAAAAATTAAACAAAATAATATGCAAATCATAAATAAAAACGGGGACATAAATGATCAAATAACGATATCCGAGACAAGCAAAATGATAACACAACAGGCATGCGGGCAGAGACAGCGGGCAGCAAACTATGAATCACTTGGGTGACTGGACTTACACGCACAGTGGCCATGGGCAAAGGCACAGAAGACATCACACAGAGTTGTATAGGGAGAGAGAGAGCCCATAGAAGCGGAGTACATTTGTTTAGTATATGTGGCAAGACGGTAAGCGAGTTAGTTTTGTTTTCAAGAGAAGATTACACCGAGATAACCTACCAAGATGTTCTCATCCGGGCTGCCAGAGTCATCCGTTGTGTTCGATTCACGCTGCAAGACAATGGGCTCAGAAAATCATGCAACTACATGCGTAAACTTGACTACAAATTCTTATTTTAAGAAAACAGCTGTGATTGGGGTAAAGAAAGCACTAAAAGGTGATACGAATACATTTTTGTTCAAGTACAGACTCTTATTGAGCGCGGTTTCAAATTAGGATTTAAAGAGCGTAGGAAAACAGGACGTATTTAGATAGGGAATAAGAGGAAATTAAGGCTAAAATCTACTCATAAGCCTTTCCCAATCACAGCTGTCCTTTAACCAAAGCATTAAGCATTTTCTATTAACTAAATAATCAATTAAAAACTTTCAAACAATATTTACATTGATAAAGTTGGTGTTCAGATCCTTCTCCTCTGAGCATTTGGGAGGCAAGACAGCAGGCGGCGCTGGCTGATGCGGCGGTATGTTGTAGGCAAACGGCGGCGGCGGCTGCTGTACGGGTGGAGGGACAGCACAGGCTCCACCGCCTCCTCCGCCACCTCCTCCGAAAGGTGGATAGTTAAATGGCTTGCTGCTGGGTGGCTCCGGCATATGGGGCAACGGGGGCACCTGCGGATACCCTATAAAACCCATTTGCGGAGGTGGTGGGCCTCCGGGACCCCCACTTAGGTTATTCTTATCGGACAGATCAATCAGATGCTGCTGCGGCGGCTGGTCCTCCTGCATGACCTGCGGATCCGGCTCGTACTCGATGTTGTAGTTCTTGGCTATGGCTATGAGGTACTTCTCCACCAGCAGCTTTGGCGGTGCCTGCAGCGTGAGCTTGTGCATCAGTTTTTCCGATACGAAATGCTCTCCGGTGGCCGTGCGCGAGTGCTCGGCGAACTCCGGACCATACTTGCTCACAAAGATGTCAGAAATGATCTTTAGCTCGGCGATGTCGCTTTGGAGGCGGGGACACACCCACACCAGGCTGGCCACCGGCTCTGCGATCCCTGTATCCAGTTCCTTCATCTGTGTGATGAGTCCGAAGCGGGCGAGCAACAGGTCGCAGTACATTTCCACCATTTCCATGGCTTCCACCAGGTAGTCCTCCCTGTAGAGAGGAGACTGCAGTGTAAACGTGGCCTTTATATAGCTTAGCCCACTCCCCCGCCATACCTTATAATGTGCTCTACACGAATACGTGCCCTCTCCGTCTTGCCCGTGGCCAAGTAGTCGGCAATCTCCTTCCTCGACTTTTGCGTCAGCTCCGCCTTCTTCTTTTCCAGCAGTTTGAGACGATTCAGAGCCAATCGGAGATTGGTCTTCAGCTTGTTGTAGTTGGGGCCGCTGGAGAACATCCTGAACGTCACCCTTGGCAGGTAAATTACTAATGAAAACAAGGAACTTTGCTTTGGTGATTCATAAACTTTGGAAAAAACAATTGGTTTCGTGACGTCACGGGAAGTAGTGTGACCAGACGGTGATTAGGTTTTAATACCGATAAGAGAACATAATTGTCCGCTCTCGGCCAAAATCAGGGCTGCCAGAGCGAGTAAGAATAATCGCACGTTCTGTTAAACTTCCATGTTTCTCGTTTATTGCAACAGTTAAAAATCCGCAACATTCAAGGGCACGGCCAGCACCTCCAACTTTCGCAGAAACTGTTATAAATCGCCCCTAAAAAAGCTTCGAAACAGGGTCACCAGATCCAGAGACAGCGCTACCAGACTGCGCAGGGAAAAAGCAGCCATTGTAGTCGATAATCTTATCGGAGAATGTGAGTTTTCCCGCGTTTTCTCTGGCTTCCACTGAGCTTTATTTGCTGAATTTTCCGGTTAACACAAATACCTTTAACAATTGTTTACATTTTACCGTTGTTTAGTGTCGCCGCCGCCGCTGTGCTATTGTGTTTGACGTCCTGCAAGTGTATCGTAGCCGCCAGACACAAAAACAGAGGTGCGAGCGCAAAACAAGCGTTCCTCGACGACATAGCGGTACTTTCGCGACGCGTGTGTACATATGTGTTGGTGTGTGGGGGCTCCATTTTTGAGTAAAAATTTCAACTAAACGTGAACGAGAAATCACTCCTAGAGGTGCGGAGCTGGTGCTGGTGGCGGGGGGCACTCCTCCTCCGTCTCCGTTTCGCAGGGACACGCCTCCAGCTCGTCGATCATGCAGCCCTCCTCCTCGCAGATGTCTCCCGGGCCTGCCGATGGCTCCGACTCGCCGTCTCGGTAGCCGGCGTAGACCTCGGCGCGTTGCTTGATAATCTCCTGGATGATGGCCGTGAGTATCTCGCGCGAGTCCACAATATGGCCGACTTCCTCGGCTACCTCGGCAGACAGCCAGGGGCAGATGCTCTTCATCAGCTGCTCCTTCTTCACGGCATCGCTGGCCGGCTCGATGTTCTCGAGAACCTCGGGCACTAGACTGGCAATGTGGCCCTGGAGCAGCTTGGCCGCCGTCACGCTCTTCTGCATCTCCTCGTCCAGCTCCTTGGCAATCTTGTCCTGCCGCAATCGGCGCTCCTTCTCAGCCTGCAAGCGCAGCTCTTCGGCCTCCAGGCGGCGCAGCTCGGCCAGCTCCGCCTCGCGCTGGGCCAGGAATCTGTGGGTGAGTTCAGCTTAGCTTAAACATGTAAAGAATCGTTATCCTTCGACTCACTCTTCCTGCTTGCGCCGCAGACTTTCTAGTTCCATCTCGTGGGCAACCTCCAGCATGCTCTGCTCGATGCACGCGTCCACCAGGACATCAATGATGGGCTGGGCCTCGGCATCGAAGTGGAAGAGCTCACCGTCGCCAATTTCAGTGCCCACATCCACGCCCACTTTCGCCGGTACAAATGGCGGTGTGGGCGGCTTCTCCAGGAACAGATCTGTTTGGGTGTCCACGTTGAACTCTGGCGGTCGCTGGACCAGCTTCTCCAGATACTTCTCAGTTTGGATGGTCTCGTGTTTACGTCCCTTGACCGGTGGCGGTGTGCCCAGGACGTTTCTCTGATTACGACACTGCACCGTCCGCTTGCGAAGCAAATTGCGGCGCCTCAATTCGGCGGCCTTGTCGAAGGGATCCACTTCCGTCTGCAGAAAAGAGGATTAGTGCCGGGTCAGGGCTGAAGCAGGACTGAGAAAATGCAGCAGAATATTTACCACCAAGGAGGAGTTGCCGAAGTTACTGCCCTTTATGACGCGACGGTCGTACATGACGTTCTTGTAGGGCTCCGGCGGCGGCACGATGGGTCTGCGGAGGAGGAAAAGCACAGAGAAAGGTAGAAGAAGCAGGTGAGAAAGCCATCAATTAGTAAACCTCGACCTAGTTCAACAAACTCCACACTTGCAGAAATAACAATAATAATCAAATCCTTTTAAAAGATATCTTTTCAGATTTACTATAGGTAATTTGAAGACTTCAGGGTTATCGTATAAGGTTTATAGGATTTCAAAGTACTTTGAAAGGGATACATATTTTTGTAATGATAAAATTCAATTGAAAACTAAGGTTCTTGAATGAATTTATAGTATTTTATGGATAATGTATTTTCTTACGACCTAAATTGTATTAATATGGCTTCTTGTGGAAATCCAATCAGAACTTTTTCCCAATTGTACACAAGGATATTGTCTTGCCTAAACTTTTAGGAGCTAAAATTTCATATTTATATATAATTGTTCATTTTTAATCTTATTCTCATGTTCACAGTGCTTATTCTATTTGTATTTATAGTTTCTTTTCCTCTTTCTAGAACCTTAAATCTGTTGCACTGCCAAAGACGCGATAAACATCAAATTTGTGCATTTTCTGAACGCCCTCGCAGGCCGCTTGTCAAGTCATCTCCGATTCGAATCAATTTCCCAAAGTTCACTACACTTTTGGGTCAAATGGCAGACCTGCTTCGCCCAGCGTTAAAGCTTTAAGGTTACGCGAGAGTCCAGTCGGGTGAGTAGTAATTTATGACTTGCTAATCTTTATGTGTAAGAACAGAACGGCCAAGTAAATGGGGAATACATGCAGTATTATTCACATGTGTAGTACATAACGAAACATTCGCAGACATTGCAAATAGGAGGAACTTGGCACCTGAACTCGTGACCTATGCAAATTTTTCAGCCACTTTTGGCCCACAAAACAGGAAGTCACATTGAAGTTACTTGCTAACAAACAACGACGACGACGTTTCTCTCTGGGTCTGGGTCTGAAGACCCCGAATAGGAAGACCAATCTGTTTAATGGAGGTGGGGTAGGGAGTTGTAACCTCTATCCTCCGGTCAGGTGGCAGGCCACCTTGTATCCTATTACTGGCTTGCATTCAGTCAAATGCTTTTATGGCCTTCCTATTGCCACTTTGAATGATGTTCCATATTATTCTATTAACCCTTTTTTTTTGGTCTCATTTACCAGAATAGCTTCCTATCATAGTAAGTGTCCCCTTGGCTCCCCTTTTGGTGTGGTAATTGAACTGAATTTCCCTCCATTTGTGGCACTATTTTTTACTCTTTCCTCGACTTATCCCTTTGTTGTTATTTACAAAATCTTGATTTAAATTATTTAAGCTGGTGCGCTAGGGAATATAGAATATTCTCCTCTGGCACGACACATTCGAGGTCCTTTGTTCGCATGTCCTTTTATGCAAGGCGAAACGAGTGCTGTTTCCCGATACGAGAATGCGCTAAATAAATTAATCACATCGCTTGGGGAATTTACAATGTCCGAATGTTATTGGAAAAACATTTCTAATTGAATTGTTGAAGAGTCAATAGAAGAGGGTCGGGCTTTTAAATAATTAAAGTACTGGAAAGGGAGTTAAGTAGCAATAGAAGGTATAGGATAAACAGGTTAAAGCTATAGAGCTTGGATTAAATAAAAATAAAAATATATAACTAGTGGGTAAAGAGATCTACGGAATAATTCAAATAGATCATTTTTAGAGGAACCAATAATATACCGAAAACATTTTAAAAAATCCTAAAAGTTTCCTAAGAGCATCCCTTGAAACGTTGTGTTCTTCTGTACTCTTTGTTAAATAGTTTATAAGATACTAAGTGTCTTATTGTAAAACATTTTTAAAAAAAAATTTAAATATTTCAAAGAATCTTTTAAGCCATTATCAACTTTAAAGGGTCGAATAGTATAGTTATTTGTTGACTCTATAAGAGCTCTTGGTTTGATTTAAAGACCACAAACGCTTTGTAATTGAATTGTTAAGCTGTCAATCGATAAAGGGCCAGAAAGGAGCAAGCTGTGGGTTCCTGGTGCTGGTGCTGGTTCTGGTTCTGGTTTGAATTCCATACCAGCCCCCGCCGGTGTATATTTCTCATTTGAATTTATGGTAATATATTTTGGCCCACTTTGTTGCTTGGTCAGTTCCCCATTCCATGCCCCACTTGCCCCATTCGCCTGGGGTTGGCCTTTTTATTACCTCTTGTCGCTTTGGTTGCGACGCTGCTGCAATTGCTGTTGGAACTGCGCCTTGGTTATGTGCAGGCCACCGGCCAGGGATTGCGAGGAGTCTTGGTTCGATTTGGAGGCCGTTGCCGTTGCCGCCGCCGCTGCTGTGGCAGCTGCCAACGCCGCTGTGGCACGCACTCCATTCAGCCGAGTGGCGGTCACCTTTTGCTCCCTGCTCTCGCTTACAGGCGCCTGCGACTGAGGCTCCTTGGAGTAGTAGCTCTGCAGGATCATGGGATATGAGGAGTAGGCGTAGACATGCCTTCGGAGCATGGTGGCTGGGATCATCTGGACTTCGTGCGGCGGTGGCAGGAAGATGCCCTGAGGCACTGTGGTCTCGAAACGCGGTCTTTGCGCCATTGCGTTGTCTAACCAGGCGCCGGAACCGGCACTATGACTCCCACCCGCGTAGTTCTCCTCCGGCGCCAGGAAGCGCAGCTTCTGGCTCAGCTCATCGGCAAAGCTGCGCACCGGATCCTGGTTGCTGCGCGAAAAGAAGGATCTAGCTGGGGCCTCTACTGGCTCATGATCCCGATCCCGGTCCCTGATCCCAGCCGCTTCCTCGCGGCGTATGGTGGGCCGCACGATGGCCTGCTGGGGTCGAGCTGCTGGAAAGGAATCGAGGTGTTCTTGCTCCTCCGAAGGCTGATGACGCAGCACCGAAAAAGCGTTGGTCACCACGTGCTGGAAATTGTAGGGGCTTTGATAGCGCTGGACGTTGTAGGAGTTGGAGTTGTAGTTGGAGTTGTAGTTAGAGTTGGAGGTCGTCGAGCCTCGTCCTGGTGCGTAGGGATAGCTGCTGGCAAAGGAGAAATTCTGCACGCGCTCCGGTCTATTGTCGGGGAAGTGTTCTGGATCTGAGTTGGGTGCTGGGTGCTGCTGCTGCTGCCTCGCCTCTGGCATGGTCTTCTCCTCCTCCGGTTCGTCCGCTTCGGTTATCCTTGCTGCTGCTCCCACCGGTGGCCACCGGTCGCCTCGTTCATTATAAATAGCCACCACTCGCTCTCACACACACCGCGCCAAGTTCCCAAAAAGTTAATCAATATTTTTTCCACTATTTCGTTTCGGTCAGGTGTTGCTCGCTCGCTCGCTTGGTCTTTGTTTAGTTTTCACCGCGGAGCACCACGTACCGCACGGTTCGAATGGCGAACGCCAAATGACCAAAGGACTCGCAGGACTCGAGCTCGGACTCGGTTTCGATTGTGTTTCGGCCCGTGGTCAACTGTCGGACGGGGGGAACTTGAAAAAACTAGGGCTTAAAACTATTTATTTAGGAGCTTTTGAGGATTTGAAACCATTTTTAAGAATTAACTAAGTCAGCGAGGCAATAAGAAAGCCTTGGTATGTCTTATTCTTTTTTTAACTTTAGAAAACTTAGCTTCTGTATCTCTTACTTTGATATAAAGTAAAATATAATATTAAACAGTTCGCTAGAGATTGTATAGATTTAGTTTTTTAGTGAGGCTTAGTGAGGGATGTTTGTCCTAAGGATCTGTTTTTATTGATTTTGATATATAGAATTCTTTCAATTTATTTTAGTTTACTATTTTTCTGCGAGTGACCCTTCGGCTTTTACTTGGTAGTTTGGGGGCCTGACCGATGGCAGGTGTTGCAATAATAATGCGAACTGTTAACAGACGACGGCTATCCACGTTCCCAAGAAATCTACTTTGCATAGGAGCACCACCCAAGTCCGCCAATTAAAGGTTTTACCTGGTAGCACCCAGTGGGACCTTGAATTTTATTCGTTGGTGTCCACATTTCCGCTTACTTTGCTTGGGAGATGACTTCACGCATTTCGCTGGCTGACATTGAAATCGGAGGTGGGTGGTGGTCAGTTCTTTTACTGGGGACTCCTCCTCCCTCCGAATGTCAATGGCCAAGGTCAATTGTTTGAACCTTCCTGATAAGCGGAATTCTAGGGAGCTTTCGGAGCATAATTAAGTGGATTTCTAGGCACTCCAAGGAGGTGACCAAGTAGTAAAGGTCAGGCAGTAGATGCATATGAGAGATTATGGTTTTGTGGGTATTTTTGGGTGTATTTGGAGTGTATTATGGACACCTATACTTATCATTACTATTTGAGATCATCGGAAGTCGTTGGGTGACCTTAAACCTTTTCAAAAATTGCATTAACAGCGTAGTAATTATCCAAGGTTGACCTTAATTCTGTATTATCTTAAAGAATAGAGAACTTGTATTCAGTTATTAAAGTTGTTCTCTATTTGTATCAAATTTTACGATCATCATTATTGTTATTTGACCTTAATCCGACCCAAAAAGTCCAGCCCCCGTCATTATCTCTGAGATACATGTATATATTTTTATGATAGTGCGTCAATTTCTAGTTTTAAGCACTCAACGACTTGCACACTTCTCGTAATTTTCCCTTCATCATTCCACAATACCTATATATACTCTATATTCCTTTGTTCCCTTTCGGGACACGAAGGTTTCCTATTCCGTTCCGTTGGTTCGCGTGTCCTTTGCCTAGGCCTTTGTATATTGACCATCACACCGCGCCGCGAACATGGCCCAGCGTTTAATAATTTATTTACGCAATTTATGACTTTCGTTTTTGGTCTTGGATTTCATTGACCCCAAGTCAGGGGGAAATCCCTTTCTCCAAGCGTGACGGGAACTGACAAGGATTAAGATGTGCAAGGTACCTGTTACTTAATTTGACAGAGATGTTGAAAATGTAATAACCTTGGCGTTTATTACACTCTAGATATTTTAGTTTTGAGATTTTAAAAGTGCAATAGGAACCCACATTGCATTTGTAATAATTGTAAGCATATTTATTATGTTTCAAGTTGAAATAGTACCCAATTTCTAGCCTATTTTCATGGGTTAATAAGCAACAAATAGACCCACTTTAAATACTTCCTTACAGGGTATCAATGAACATTCTTTGGGTGTTGTCTGTTTGCTACTCACTTGGGGCAACCTTTGATTTTGATCGGCTTGGGCTGGCTGGCCCACCAGAAGGCCTGCTTGCAGGGTGGAGCCGGGCACGGGGTATCCTGCCACTTGAGCTGCATCTCGGTGACCTCGGTCCGATTGATGAGGAAATCCATGCCCGAGCCCTTGCTTCCACCGCCGTTGGGCTTGTAATCGCGCTTGGGGATTGTCGGCATGTTGTATTTTCACTAAACTGCGGTTTTCGAATAGGTTTTCACGTTTTACAAATAATAATGTATATAATTCAGGGGAGCGATACGTGGCCGTTATCCGAAATTATGTGTAAAAAAATGTTTCTATCATGTGACACATTTTCAAGGCACTCTCTGTTCTTCCATGTTAAATTCGAAAGTATTTTTAATGTTTTTATTATTTATTTTGGGTTTTTAGTTTGGTTCTGGTTGTATTTCTGCTGACTTTGGGCTTGAATTTGTATCCAAAATAAACAACAACGGCGGAATTTGCTCAGTTGCCATGGGAATTTGATGTCGGCATTGTTAAACTGTTGCTGTGTGGGGATGGGTTTCCAGAAAATATAAAGGTTGAGGATAAGGATTCAGTTGGGGTTCCCTTGCAATGCGGATTATTCGATAGATATTATTCGGAAATATTACTTTTACGTAAATAAATCGAAATCATACAAGTTTTAGGATTTTCTATAGAAACTTTATTGCCTAGTTAACTTCCCTATAAATTATTCAGAACTGATTGCCTTTCAGTGTGGGTTTATGTATTTATATATCTCTTAATCAAATGGAAGCCAAAGTAACAAGTCACCGGAATTACTTGAAGGAGCTTTAGCTCTTAGCTTTAAGCTTCAAGAACGAAGTTATAACTTTTTTTATAATTTATAAACTAAAAGAAAATCTCTAAGATTTTCTTATTTAATTTCCTATAGATTAGTATCGTCCTATAAAATAAGATGGTTTGTTTTGAGGTTTCGCTGTTAGCTTAAACCTACTTAGGGATATAGTACCACACCTAAAAGGCTATACAACTTTAATTAATAACAAAATACATCAAAATAGGCATTGTTAAAATAAATGTTTCTATTTATGTCTCTCGCTGAGAGCTATACCAATTTATTTATTAATTACTTTTTTCATTTTCAAATAAACAACTTCTATGTTAACAGTAAAGTTAACAGTGGAAGCTAACATTGCACTGCTTTTACGCACTGCTTGTTAACTGCTTTATCACAACACATACTGCTTACATACTGCTTGTTGCAAATAAAAAAGCAGTTTCTTTAAATATGCTTCACTGCGTTTTACGCTTCTGATTAAAATTATAATACCATTCTTTGAGTCGATATTTATCAATATTTTTATATGAAAACTTTGTCTTAAAAATTAAATCTTTAAAAATTCATAACTAAGCCAAGAAGGCATTAATTTTAATTCGGTAAGCTGCTCTATGTTGGTTTTTATTAGGTTAATAAATCTGCATACTCAATAGACAATTTTAAGAATTTTAAAATTTTGTCAATTTTTCACAATTCAACAATGTACATTTTTAAATGAAAAAAAATGTAAAATTTTTATTTTATGTCTGAGATGACTAGATCGATTCCGCTTTATGTGCTGATCAAGAATATATATGATTTATGGGGTCGGAAATGGCTTCTTCACAGCGTTTTACGCTTCTGACTAAAATTGAAATACCATTTTTAAGTCGATATTTACTAATATTTTTATATGACAACTTTGTCTAACAATCAAATCTTACAAATCTCGAAACTCCGCCAAAAAGGCATTAATTTTGATTCGGAAAACTGCCCTGTGTTACTTTTTATTAGGTTAATAAATCTGCATACTCAAAAGACAATGTTAAACATTTTAAAATTTTGTCAATTTTTCACAATTCAACAATGTAAAGTTTTTAGATGAAAAATAGGGGAAAAAATTTAAAATTTTTATTTTATGTCTGAGATGACTAGATCGATTCGGCTTTTTGTGCTGATCAAGAATATATATGATTTATAGGGTCGGAAATAACTCCTTCACATCGTTTTACGCTTCTGACAAAAATTTAAATACCATTTTTTAGTCGATATTTACTTATATTTTTATATGACAACTTTGTCTAAAAATCAAATCTTACAAATCTCGAAACTCAGCCGAAAAGGCATTTATTTTAATTCGGAAAGCTGCCCTGTGTTAGTTTTTATTAGGTTAATAAATCTGCATACTCAAAAGACAATGTCAAACATTTTAAAATTTTGTTAATTTTTCACAATTCAACAATGTACATTTTTAAATGAAAAAAAATGTAACATTTTTATTTTTGTCTGAGGTGACTAGATCGATTCGGCTTTTTGTGCTGATCAATAATATATATGATTTATAGGGTCGGAAATGACTCCTTCGCATCGTTTTACGCTTCTGACTAAAATTTAAATACCATTTTTTAGTCGATATTTACTAATATTTTTATATGACAATTTTGTGTAAAAATCAAAGCTAAAAAAATTCATAACTAAGGCAAAAAGGCATGCATACTCAAAAGTAAATTTAAAAAGGTTTAAAATTTTGTCAATTTTTCACAATTTAACAATACAAATTTTTTGATGCAAAATATTAAAAAATAATTTTTAATTTTTATTTTTTGTCTGAGATGGCTAGATCGATTCGGCTCTTTCTGCTGATCAAGAATATATATGATTTATATGTTCGGAAATGACTGCTTCACTGCGTTTTACCCTTCAACTAAAATTGAAATACCATTTTTTAGTCGATATTAACCAATATTCTTATATGAAAATTTGTCCTAAAATCAAATCCTACAAATCTCGAAACTCAGCCAAAAAGGCATTAGTTTTAGTTAGTTTTTGTGTTTTTTAGTGTTAGTTTTTGACAGGTTAATAAATCTGCATACTCAATTTACAATCTTAAAATTAAATCCTTGATTAAAGCCTTGTTAGATCCTTGAACTTAAAAGTGACTTTGAGTTTTCCGACTCATTTATGAAATATAGAAGCTAACTCTGATTTGCCATCAGTATAATCCATTGGCAACTGAGCTCCGCCCCCGAAAACCGAATCGAATTTCCCCGGAACGTGTCATTTAATTACATTTTCCCAATCCGTATCAATGTCTGGGGAAGACTATCAAGCGATTGTCAATTATTCCCCTCAAACACAACATCCTTTGTGTTGTTTAGCTTATTATTCATTAACAATCAGAGTCGAAGAGGGAACAAAACAGACCAACAATGACTTTGCTGTCAGCGATGACGTTTCGCTTTCATGCGGGGGTGATAATTGTCAACTTTTGTGGCCAAACAAACGATGGGACGAACCCCTTCCGACTGCCTAATAAGATCATAGGGATAAGTGGCCAAGACCATGACTCGGCTCCTGCCTGCTCGCCGTTTAAAAGGATGCTTGCCTAATGATGCCCACACACATGGTTAGCAAGACGACGCCAGGCAGCGATCGTGTCCAGCTATATCCCTCGATCTCCGATACGGTTTCTGCCCGGATTCTGCGAAGGTCTCTTGTCAAACAAATCATTTACAGATCCTGCGTAGGAGGAGGTGTGAGCTGCCAATTTTCCCAGGAAAATGGTATGTCCAGTTTGTGTTCGAGTTTTGATTAATTTATTACCCAATTTCCGAGGGGAAAGTGATCTCTTCGGGGGCCCTAACGGTCGAGGATCGTAAAAAACGATCTGTCGAGAGAGAAAGAGAAACAATTGTAAAATAATCTGCGGGCTTCCATTTGTGGGCTTGTCTTTATTTTCTTTTTATGAGTTATTTATGTGTTGCGATGGCGCCAACAGGGAAATAAAAATAATTATTGAGCAATATAGGTTTTTTTAAAATATTTTTGTATTCAAATATTCTGCCACAAGAAAGGGTGACACAAAATTGGGGTTAATACAATTTATACTATCCATTAGAGTTGATAAATCATTCGTTATCAACGGTGTTTGACGGTTTTTCATTGTTGTTAAATGATTTATTATGTTTTTAAGCAAAGTTAAGAGTTAGAATTTAGCGACCATAACACCATAAAATATTTAGATTATCCAATTACTTGTAAGCTATATAAATTACAATTAAATTGAGACATATTTGACATATGTGTTTCCAATATTTAAATTCCGCTTTTTTAAATGGTATTTCCATTTAGTATACTGTAAAATTAATAAATATAAATATAAACATTTATATTTATATCTCCACAAATTGAAGGTTTAATTCTTGAATATTTATGTATATTTAAGATATATATATTTCTTTTATTATTTATTCTACTTCCATTTTTCTATTACCTTTTATTAGGGCTAAAACAAATGGAATTAAATTAATGAATTGCTTATAAAATACTCGTAAACTATTATTTTTCAACCCATTTCTTGATTCCTGCGTTATAATACCTCCTCTATGATTAATTTATTATCCAAATATTTACCAAAAGAATTCAATAATTTTCGTGAGGTAATTTGGCCACAAAAAACCAAGTTAAATTGACAGTTAATATTTATTTACAAACAGCGAGCACTCCAACCAACTCCCCTCCTCTGCGATAAACAAACTCAGTCAAATTAAAATAAATATAACAATTTTTCTCCTAATGACAAGCCCCATATATATTATAAATATCGTACCTACGTACGTATATATAAGAAATGCAAAACACGCAAACATTTTGTGACTGTTTTTGGGGGTACAAACGTTTGCATGACTGAAATATTTCCGAGTATTATTGATTGCCGACATTCTGGGCACAAATGGCTCTTTAACTTCCCGGAGAAGTTGGAGCCAGAGCCGGAGCCGGAGCCACTGACAAATGTGCGAGGTAAGTGAAAATGTGGTCGAGTTTAGTCGGTTAGCAGCAGTCAGACATTAGACCCCCGGATAGCGACCCCTCCGTTGTGCGCCTCATTTGCATTGGGTCGGCCTGGAGTTGATAACAGCAAAATCCGACCGCCGTTTGTTGATCGCTTCCAAGCTACACGGCGCGGAATAACTTAGGCTTTTTGTTGCCTTTACACACTCGCACTGGCCGCCGGCAGGCGGGTCAAATAGAAAATGAAATAAAAATAAAAACGCGATCGTCTGATCGTCAAAACAACAATGAGAATGAACAATATAAATGGTCGCATCGGAATTGCTAATTTGCTTTTCAGTTCGCTCGGTCGGTTGGTCGGGGTTTTGGCTTGGCTTTGCCTTTGGGTTTCGTTTCTCCCTTACTTATATTTTTTTTTAAACAGATATGTATGTGTGTTTTTTCCGAGGGCCGGAGTCGGGTTCCTGGTCCGTCTGACCCTCCCTTTTGGACCCCCAGTGGACCCCAAGTCGATACGATTGATTTTTGTG